TTGTTTCTCTAGAGAACCCTGCCTAACACAATCATCCATCAATGGTTGTAGCAGGGAGCTGTCAGAGGTTTGGGCTGGGTTCAGAAGATATCATTTTTTGTGTGTGTGTGTGTGTGTGTGTGTGTGTGAGAGAGAGAGTGAGGCAGTGAGAGAGTGAGAATGAGACAGTGAGAGAGTGAGGCAGTGAGAGAGTGAGAATGAGACAGTGAGTGAGGCAGTGAGAGAGTGAGAATGAGACAGTGAGAGAGTGAGACAGTGAGAATGAGACAGTGAGAGAGTGAGACAGTGAGAGAGTGAGAATCCAGAAGATATCATTGTTGACATCAGAAGGAACTTTTTTAAAGCCAAGAACACCAGAAAGATGGTTACTTGTGTTTTATTGACTATGCCAAGGCATTTGACTATGTACATCATAACAAATTGTGGATAATCTTAACAAGTTGAGAATTCTAGAATATTTTATTGTGCTCATGGAGCACAATTTGAATATGAATCTGAGACACTTGTGTGAACAGAACAATGAAATACTGCATGGTTTCTAATCAGAAAAGATTTGCATCAAGTTACATCCTGTTATCATACTTATTCAATTTGTATGCTGAGCCAGATAGAGAAAATCAAGGATGTTACTTGTGGAATAAGGTAGGCCTGATCCAAGCCATGGTTTTTCAATTGCCTCATATATATGTGAATGCTGGGTATAGAATAGGAAGTCAGAAGAATAATACATGCATTTGAATTATGTTGCCTCTAAAGACTATTAAAAGTGTTCACAGACTCCCAAAAGAACAAACAAATCTTTCCTAGAAGAGGTACAGCCATAAAAACACAGATAAGCAAGAATAGGGAGCACTTTATACTTGTTATTAGGAGAGACCAGTCCTTGGAAAAGGCATCATGCTTTGTAAAGTAGTGGAGCAGTGAAAATAGAGGAAGAAAAGGTGGATTAATACAGTGGCTGAAACAATGGGCTAAAATTTATGAGGATGTCATACTACCAGGCAGTTTTTTGTTCTGTTGTATATAAAATCGCTATTAGTTGCAACCATCTCAACAGCACCTAAAAATAACAAATAGAATTTTTCTCTAAGAAGGAAAGTTTTGTATTTAGAGTGATTAAATGATGAAATCTAGGTAACTAGTATGTGTTAAAGAAAATGTCATAGAAAAATTAAATTCTACCTAGCATCAACATAATATCTACTACAAACTATCAATTCCCTTCTCAGTTCTCACTACGGAACAGGGTAGACCTTCCCTTGTTGGCTTTTAGGACTGTAACTGTTTACAGGAGTCAAAAGTCTGGTCTTTCCTCTGGGAGAGGCTGGTGTTTTCTAACTGCTGACCAACATATAACTGCTATGACATTTACTTAATCTTTGTTAACCTCTTACACATGTAGGTCATTGATAAAGTTAATATGAAGAATTAAGACCAGAATTGATATAAAATATACTCTTGTAAGGAACGTTTTCACAGCCTCTTTCTTTTCCTTTCCATATTGTAAACACAATTTCAGCACTCTGACTAAAAAGAAAGAATAAGAAATAATCAAGCAAAGATAATTGCAAATCATTTATAAAATAAGCACAAATTTTATAGAATCTGAACCACATCGTGAGTATTATGTGTGGAACAAGATTTAAAAAAATTACTAGAGTTTTCACAGCATTGTCAGAAGAACATAGATTTTAAAGTTTATAAAGGCTAAAATAAAAGAAAACTCTATATCATATTCTGTTCTACATGTTATCAGATCTTTCCCCCAAATAAAATTACAATAAAATGAATTAAATATGGTTACCAAATCTCAGTACCCCTCACAATTTATAACTTAAGTTGTAGAAAATAAACGTACAATCTTGAAATGATGCAAGCTACTGTCACAGTTTTTTTATTGACAATTTTTTGGTGTGCCCTGAGAGCCTCTAAAAACTTATTCATATTATTTTTGTTATTGTGGGAACACAAAAACCATCATGTGGTCACATTTTGACAGATTCCTGTAGCACACAACAGCATTATTACAAGACCCTTGGTGTAACTGTGGACTATGATGTAGCAGACAACACGAATCAATCAGAATTTAAGTTCTCTTCATTCTGACAAGAATTCCTAATATAACCCATCAAAGGTAGTTTAAAACTTGATAGTCCTGCCACCCTGTTTATAATAGAATTGGAAACACTTCATCTAGCATCTTTACCTTTATCGAAAAACTGACAAAGCTTAACAAAATGCATCTGCCTTAAATATTTGATGTGTGATAATAAGTGCATCAATGATGATGTGCCATGAAAAGAAATGTGCATAAAACTGTCAAAAGGCAAAAAACAAATTGAGCTGGATTGAGGTTTAGGAAATAATTCTGTATGACTCTTTTAAGAAAGCAAGAAACTTGGTACAAAGAAGACTGGGTTTAGCAACCTTGACTTCTACTTATTTCTTAGAAGCTAATATTTTCATGTAGTTCTTGGGTCATCTAAATGGTTAGCATACTCAGTTGCTATAAGAAAAGTCGCACCTCCAGTCTACCTGAAGATTTCCGAAGACTTAGAACAAATAAAAGTATTTGTCCTCAAGTCAATTCAGACTCATAGCAACACCCTATGTGTCAGTGTAGCACTGAGCTCCACAGGGTTTTCAATGGTTGAGATATTTTAAAAGTATTTTCCCAAAGCTTTCTCCTTTGGAAATTCTAGGTGGATTCAAACTGACAACCTTTCCTGTAGTAGCTTGCATCACTTGTGTCATCCACGTGTGTCATTCAAGTATGTCCACAGACCTAGTGATTCTTAAAGTAGGCTTTGTAAATAGTTATAAGACCTTTACTAGGGTACACAAATTTTACTGTGGCAATCAAGAAAAACAAGACATTTGTCTTATTTGCTAATGGAAATAATAATTAAATAAATGAGTAAATTAATTAGAAAATAAAGGGAATCAGTCATTTCATGTAGGGGCAAATTTTATGAGGAATGTAAAATGAACTAGACTAGAAAGATGTGTGTGGAAGGCAGTTAATTTCATTGTGTTTCAGTTTTTGTTTCTAAGGGTTGTTGTAACAAAGTATCACAAAGTGAATGATTTAAAACATCAGAAATTTAACCTCCACAGTTCTGAGAGTCACACAAACGACAAATTCAGTATGTCAGCAAGTCCATGCTCTCTCTGAAGGCTGAATGGAAAAATCTTTCATTTAAAAAAATTAAATACTTTTATTGGGGACCCTTAGATCACTTATCACAATCCATACATTAATCCAATATGCCAAGCACATGTGGACATATGCTGCCTTCATTCTTATTTTCAAAGCATTCTCTTCCCATTGAGCCCCTGCTAGCAGCTCCCCATTTCTTCCCCCTCCCTTCCTGCCCTCCCTCCCTCACGAACGCTTGATAAGTCATAGATCAGTATTTTCAAATCTTACATTGTCCTCCATCGCCCCTCACCTACTTTTCCGTTGTTAGCCCCCCTGGGAGGAGGGTATAGGTTGATCCTTGTGATGGATTCCCCCCTTTCCCCCCTCCCCTCCCCTAGTCCTCCTGGTATCTCTACTCTCATTGTTGGCCCTAGGGGGCTTATCTATCCTGGATATGCTGTGTTTCTGGCTCTTGTCTGTAGCAGTGTGTATGTTCTGTTCTAATCTGATTTGTAAGGTAGAATTGAGGTCATAATAGTGAGGGGAAGGAAGGGGCAAAAACTAGAGGAAAGTTGTGTGTTTCCTCGGTGCTTTACTGCACCCTGGCTGGCTCATTTTTCTCCATGACTCCTTTGTAGGAGGGTGTCCAATTTTCTACAGATGGGCATTTGGGTCTGCACTCCATGCCTTACTCCCCACTCACCTTGGGCATGATTTTTTTCTGGGTCTTAGATGCCTAGTACCTGATTCCTTTGACACCTCGTGATCACACAGGTATGCTTCACTCTTGGTGAATTCTTTTAATGTACATAGGTGATTTATCTTCAGTAGATCCCACTTGTATATTTGTGACTCCTCTGTATTTGTATCCTTCCCCATTTCTGATAGCCTATTTATTCCCTATATCAAGATTCTCAGATTTGTCCCAGTTCTTTCATTAATGGTCCTAAGAATTTGGGGTTTTACCTCAAGGTTTATGATCCACCTTGAGTTTATATTTGTGCATGGAGTGAGGTAAGGGTCTTGCTTCATTTTTCTGCAGGTAGATATCCATTTTTTTCCAGCCCCACTTACTGAAGAGAGGATCGGCTTCCCATTTGATATTTTGTGGACTCATCAAAAATTAGTTGTCTGTATGCTGATGTTTTTATTTCTGGGTTTTCAACTCTATCCATTGGTCTGCATATCTGTCATTATACCAGCACAACACTGTCTTGACCACTGCGGCTGTATAATATGTGCTAACATCAGGTAGAGCAGAGCTCCCACTTTGTCCTTCTTCTTGAGGAGTTCTCTGCTAATACTGGGCTTCTTCTGTCTCCATATAAAATTGGTAATCAATTTTTCCAATTCTCTTTTTTTTTAATGTTGGCCAGCAGGGCACTGCCCCTCTGAAGGTGGCAGAGGGGCATCCTCTGCCCTGGAAACCCTTCACTTTCGGAGGTTAACCAGTGGATGGCAGCATGGTGTAGAGCTGCCTCACCTTCTCTACAACCCATATTTGGTTGGAAAGAATCTTTTTAAGGTTGTGTTTCTTTTTACATATTCTTTGAGTTGTTCCTTGTCTGGGAAGATTCTTACTTCTCCATCTATCTTAATAGATAATTTGGCTTCATATAGTATTATTGGATTTGCATTATTTTCCTTCAATTTTTGAATATGTTACTCCACTCCGTCCTCTTCTTCATCGTGTCTGCTGATAGGTCTGAACATATTATTATTTGGGCATCTTTTCCAGTGATATTTGTTTTTCCTTAGCTGCTCTTATGATTTTCTCTTTTTCCTCATAGTTGGATAATTTAACTATTGTGTCCTTGTGACTTCTTGGGATTCAGTCTGGCTGGTGTTCTTTCAACCCCCTGAATGGTAGCCTGATTTTCATTTATTAATCTGGGGAAGTTTTCCTCTAAGAATTCCCTCATTGTTTTCACTGTTGACTTCATTGTTGTATCTTGTTCTGGTAGTCCAATTACTCTAATATTGTTCCACTTCATAGCATCAGACATGGCTCTCAGGTTTCCTTCAGCTTCTGTAATTGTCTACTTTGACTGTTTTCCCCATTTACTGAAGTCTGCCTGGCTATCCTCTAGATCACTGGTGCAATTCTTTGCCTCTTCAAGTCTGCTGGCAAAGTTCGTTGAGGCTGTTGGGGCTGGTTGTTGTTCACATGCTGTTTTAGAGGCACCCGACCCCATCTTCCAGAGTTGAAGAGCGCTGGGATCTCTCTGGGAGAACTCATATGAGTGATTCTTTGAACCACATGCAGGTAGCTTCACTGGAGGGTCAAGCTACCACTGTATCTTCCTGTGATTTCACTCTTACACTAGACAACCAGTATTCTGTTATTTATAATGTGAGCTGGATAGTCCTCTCATGGGACGCTGGTCAGGTGGTTTTGGGCACACGGGGATGGCTTTTTACTGTCTTATCTCCCAGGAAGCTGTAGTGATGTGTCTCACGGGGCTTGGAATGCCTCGGGTGGGATGTGGTGTTTCCCTCTGCAACTGAAGTGGCACTGAGCGTGTGTGGTTGTACCCTCCTTGGTGTAAAGCGCTATGGATAGCAGGTGGAATTACTCTAGTTGGAGAGCTCATCGTGGAGGTTGGGTGGATGATCCTTCACTAGCGCAGAGCAACAAAATCAGTGGGCAGGAGTTCCTCCAGTCAATTTTAGGACCTTGGGGTGCAGGCAGAATTTCCCCCACCATTTTGAAGGGGAAATCCCCCAGCCATGTGGGGTGTAGTGGAAGGAGGGCATACTTTCCCCCAATGTGTGTAAAGCCAGCAAGTGAGGGCAGGAGCTCCCCCAACTGGGCAGTCAAAATTACCCTAGGTGGAGGGGAGTGGACTAGAGGCTGGTAGTGGCATGTGAAAAGAAAGAGAGGGAGAACAGAATAAAAAGAGAGAAACGAGAAAACAAAGACAAGAGCAAACATAAAAAAACAATCTAACACACACACACACACACACACACACACAAAGCAAAGACAAAATAACAAGGAAAAGAGTCAAAAAAAGAAAATGACAGAAAGAAAAACCGAATCTGCTGAGACTGGTGGCATAGAGCGAAGAGATAGAAAAAAAGAAGAAGAAAAAGTGAAAGAAGATGAAAAGAAATGAAAAATAGATAAAGAGATAGCTGGGTCCCATGCTGAGCTGTGTGTAGCACTGCCTTGTGTCTTGTGCAGCACTGCCACAGGGGGCAGGCTGGGACTTTCCCCATTGTGTGGGCAGAATTACCCTAGGCAGAGGCTAGTGTGCTGGAATCCAGCAGTGGCTTGTGGAGTATTCAAAGTACAATGGCCTTCCAAAAGGACAAACCAGTCTGTCTTAGAGGCAAGGATGGTGTGACTTCTATACTTTGGACATGTTGTCATGAGAGACCAGTCCCTTGAGAGGGCATCATGCTTGGTAAAGTATCAGGGCAGGGAAAACAGGTCAAGAAGATGGATTGACACAGTGGCTACAACAACTGGCTTCAGTATAAGAAAAATGGTGAGGACGGGAAAAGGCTAGGAGTGTTTCCTTCTGTTGTGCGTAGGGTTGCTATGGTTTGATCCAAAGCGATGGCACCTAAATGAAGCAAATGCGTTTTTGGTGTCTTATTTAAATTTCATTCCTTCAGAAGTTTGACAACTTTAATTCGGTATGATTATTGTTTCACCTCATCAAACTGCAGTTATTTCTAGTTAAATTGTTAGTTCTCTTCTTAGGTTTTAAATAATCTATTCTTTCAATAGCGCATGATGGCCCTCCATTTTCTTTTTTAGTACCATATTGCTGTCCCCTCATTTATTTTACTGAAAGAAAGTGATTTCTTTCAGTTTGTGAAATGCAGAAATTTGCAATTAAGGCTGTGTGGAGGGAAAAAAGATTAATACAAAATTTAAAATAATTTTATACTGTGTTTTTCCTCTGTGGGCATCCACTAGTAATAACTGAGGCAGGCAGAATAAAATGAAAATAGGTAAAATAATTTGATCATTTAGTAAAGGGGAATTTATCTAGCATAAGAAGCATTAATAAATAAGAGCCAGCTATCTGAGAAGAGGAGAATATTAGTAGAAGTGAAATGTTCTCTGAAATAATCACAAAATGAAATGGAAGTTAATTGGATTCTCAAAAATTGACCCAGGAATACTTTTGTTTGAGTGTCTTTCAGATGAAAGTATAGAGTTGTGCTCTATCACTGAGGTCAGAAAATGTTGCAGACAATGTTGATGCAAAAGGAATAGGGCATGGTCTTTGCTTCTGAGTAATTGGTGCATCTGGGCTTTTGTGGTTAATTGCAATGGTAGAGAAAAAGAAGAAAAGTATTTTATGGTTTGTGGTTACATGGAACAAAAGCTTATTACTGTGGACTAGAGTGGTAAATAGAATTATCTCTTTTTTCAGTTTAATTTATTGCTTGTGAGTTTACATATATTTTGATAGATATTTAATTTTAAACTTGAGACCTTATTTAAGGCAGAGTAATAAACAAAATTCTCTCTGGGCAGGTACAAGCTTATTTTATATCCTCTGACTTTAAAAATTAATTGACTCTTAAAGCATGACATTGGATGTATTTTCTTTCTGGAAAGGTTGAAAGGGATGATTTAAAGATAGCTTAAAGTTACAAAAGCCCTTTACAAATTAACCTAATTCCCCTTGCAATATTCTTTGAGGTTAGAAAAATACTGTTCTCCAACAAATGACAGATAAAATTGAGATGTAGTTAAGATATATAAGATAATATAAAAAATTCTGAAATTAATGTGATGTTGGTATTGTAGTCTGTTTTAAAAGTTCCTCTTTCCTGTAAATGATGGTACCCTTGATATTGTTGTCAGGTGCTGTTGAATTGGTTCATACTCTTACATATCTGATGAGAACAGAATAAAACACTGTCCAATCCTGCCCCCTTCTTGTGACATGTCTAAATTATGGGAAGCAAAGCTTACCATCCTTGCTTCTAAGGAAGTATACCGCTGCACTTCATCCAAAACAGATTTCTTCATTATTCTGCAAGCTGAAGGTACATTAAGTATTCTTTATCTACAACACAATTCAAAGATACCAATTCTTTGGTTTTACTTATCCAGTGTTCAGCTTTCACATACATATGAGATTTTGACTAGTATCAGGCTACTCTTCAAAGTGATGTTTTTGCTTTTTGAAAAAGGTTTTGTAAAGCAGATTTGTCCAATGCAATATGTCTTAGCTTTTTTGACTTTCGATTCCATCACCATTAATTGTGGATCCAAGTAAAATGAAATTATTGGCAATTTCAAGCTTACCTAAATTCATCACGCTGTTTATTGGTTCAGATGTCAGTGCTGTTGCTAGAAGTCATCCAGTTGATTCTAACCTATAGGGACCTCATGTACAACAGCATGAAACACTGCCCAGTCACACCATCCTCACAATCTTTCCTATGCCTAAGTCCATTGTTCCAGCCCCTGTGTCCACCCAGCTCACTGAGCGTTTTCCTATTTTTCACTCCTCGTCCACTTTACTAAGTTTGTTGTCCTTCTTCAAGGAATGGTGTCTCCTGACACGATGTTAGAAGTGTATAACATGAAGTCCTGTCATATTTTTTCAATATTTATTTAGATTTTAATTTTTTAAATCAAACACCTCTGTACTCAGGGTTCAATTAGTACAACAGTGATGCCTAAAATAACATTTTTTATTCCAAGGAAAACTAGTAGAGGGACTAAATACCTGTACTCCAAAATTGCTGTGGCTGAAAATCAAGAGAGTATGAAATTGAGGACAATAAATTGGACAAAACATTTCATTTCTTGAAATTTTTAATAATTTTGCAGTAGAATTAAATATTTGACTTTGTTTCTTCCTAAAATTTTATAAAATGGAGAAGAATGTATATCATGTAAATGTTGGACATCTAAATACTTGTTTTCTTTGAAGTTTATCTCTGTAATCATTTTAGCAGATTACTAAAGTCTTATAAGTTATACCAGGTTTTGTGACAATATATTATTTTTTTGGTGAGAATCATTCAATGGAAAAATTTTATGTTATTTGCCTGTGTGGTAGTAGGGACTTGGAATTAAACGAATACCATCTTTTGAGTTAAAGTAATATTTTCTTGAAACAAATGCTCAGTGGTGTCCTGTGGGCTATGGAGATGCTCAAAAGAACACTCTTTGAAATAAGAAAATTATATTTAGGATATGAGAGTAAACTAGTCTGAGAGGATAATGATTTTTTATTTTTGTACAGTGACACCCTTGCTTTTAATTATGAAGGCTTAATTGCTAAGTCTTGTTAAGATGCATAGATTAAGAGAATAAAATCTAGTGTGTGATAGAGTACATTTTATTTCCTCAAGAATTATATTTTTTGAAAAACATTTCAATCTCCTGGACAGAATAGTTGTATTACTGTAACTTCTGCTTTTCTCCTAATGTCTTATCCTTTAATCTTACTAGTTGGTTAAAGTAATTTAAAGTAAAAAAATGTGATAAGCATGTGTGGTAGTTACATAAGCTGG